CGTTCTTACACATACTAGTTCCTCATACAACACCGATACTTGTGACTTTGAATGAGTAGGTTGGAGGTGTTATGGACTTTAAGTAGTTGTGAAACTTTCACTGTTCTTCTGGGCATCATCATCATTTACTTTAAAAGCAACTGCGTCACGAAGTACGTGCTGATAATGTTGTTTAAAAGAACAATAAAATCTTTACAAGTGAAACATCTAACTCAGAGACCATAACATTTCCAAAATTTTATTATAATTGTTTACAATTCAGTCAAGCGATAAGTAATAGGTTTTTAATCTGCAAATATATTATCGTAAGATAAATATAAATATAAAATAGTAGGGTTAACTATGCATGATGTTTATTATTAATATTGACACTCCATGTTTTCTCTTTATTGGAATTTCGAACTGACGTAACTAATAGCAAAAACTATACCGGTTGAGAAAGTTCATGGTTATTATAATTCAGTAGCCTGATAGAAGGAAATCTTACTGTGTTTCATCATTGAAATGCAGGCACAGATAGCTGATGAGTCCTAAATTTTCAACTTCACTGTTATTCTCATTTTAAGAAAATATATTTCTATCACTAGTTTACGATGATGAGAACAAATATATAAAAAAAATGATGTGACATAGAAAGATATGTAGATTCGCTTATTTTCAAATCCATTTAAATAAAGGTTGAAAAGGATTTACATGACATAAGTGCTTTCTACTTTCTATTACTCTATCCCTTTCGCTTTTCCGGCCTTTTTGATTGTTAATTGACAGAGTTTTTCATTAGTGATGAACTCCTGAGGATTACAAAACTAGTGGGACAATAACATCTCGAAATATTTACTTATTTGGATTACATCGAGTGTTTTAGATAACCTTTAAACCATTGGTATTGTTCGTTTCTCAACTCTATTCATTTATTTTTCTTGTAAAAAATTCTAATTCATTTTATGTCACAATAAAATGGAGTGTTGTGTTTTCCTCACTAGAAGTACATTTTACCGATAAATGGTTTTAAAAGCTGTAATGACTTTGAAACCATTAAGAATTAAGCAAAATGACATTTTATGTAACTAATTAGTTTTCCTTGTGTATGTGCACCATTTATTTTTACAATGGATATTACTCCCCACTAAGTTCTCCGATTAGCGAATTGATTACTAATATAGAAATTGTATGTAAAAAACATCTCCAGGTTATTTTATAGAAATCTGATTTACTTACCTTTTAATTGATTAAAATCATCATTCTACTTGAGAAAAATTAACGTCTCGTAATTCAAAGTTTATCATAGGTGAAGAAACAATGTCTGCCTTCATTCATCGTTCTCAAACTTTGAAAACAAATTCAGTTAAATTAAAGTAGATAAATTTACAAGTATTCTCCCTAAGAATCAATAATTAAACGTTTGAGTAAATTCCCCATTTGAATGATGAGGTCATAGTTTATTTTGTTTTTCAATTAAATGGACAAATTAAAATACGTGGAATTTAGCAAACTATTGAATCTTAATTATTATTTTGTTTACTTCTTAAGTAGTTTTGTTTACTATTCCTTTTATCATTACATTTTATAGAGTATGCATAACTCATGAACACAAATGTTGTTTGTTTTCTATTAAAATCGATTAGTGGATAAATTCTCCAAAGTTTCAACAACAAAAAGTTATGCTTAGATTTTAATAAAAACATTTATTCTATGACCTACTTCTGTAGGTTTATTCAATATTTAAACAACAATGAAACCCACAGTTTTAATTGATCATTTTATTCACTGTCATTGAATTTGATTAATTGTTGTATATTTACTAATTAATTTTTACTTCATTTTACACTAAATAGTTAGTTAATTTTGTAGGTGGAAAATAACGTAAAAACTGAATAAGTAAAGATGGTTAGTGGCTATCAGTGGAATCCATTTTGACGCGCGTTTCGTCCTATTTGGGACTCGTCAGCTGGCTACCAGGACTCAGTAGCTAAGTAGGTAATGCGATGGCGTTTGAAGTGTCTGGTACTGGGTTCGAGTCCCAGAGTGAGCATCAACTTTAAGATGCAGATATATCCAGATGACGAGTCCTAAATAGGATGAAACGCGAGTCCTGGATTCCACTGATAGCTACTATCCATCTTTGCTTAGCATGCTTGTGAATTAAGGCAATATCAAGGCAGTCCGCACACGATGCACGTATGCCAATAAAAGACTGATCAATTGAAGTCCTAAATAACAATAGGAAGGTACACGTAAACTACACCAAGTGAATGAAAACTGAGTATTTACTCATAAGACATCTTAGTTTAGTATAAACTAATTGATTATTCCCATTTGGTAACAAATGTTATTCAATTTATACCATTTTTGTAGTGAAAATAATATTTTCAAATTCCATGATTCTACGCAAATTTTCTTATCATCAACTGTTAAAATAGATTAAATATGTTTTAAAATCTGGTCTAATGATGAAATGACTTTCGAAATAAACTCTTAAAAAATAACCCAATTACATATTATGAACATTTGTATGGCACGAATACATTATCAGATGTTATTTTGAATAGATAGTCTATGTACTTCAGGAAAGAAAGAAAAGACTGATTGTAATTATTCAACAAAAGATGTGTTGATAAGTACATATTACAAATAAAACTGTTACTTTGTAATGAACGAGAACACAAGTGGAGATAATCAAATGTATTTAAACAGAAAATTACAGAACATCCTAGTAAAATCTAAGAACCATACAGTAAATACTTCATTTGCAAAATGTCAGTGAATCGTCTCAGACTTCATTGTTCTTTCGTTTCCACAGCAATCATTCTCTGGTCTCGTTCTCTTTGCTTCGATCCTCTTAACCTTCTGCCTGCAAAAATTTCACTTTCAATTGATTACAAATACTACTTATATCTGTCGATATGAGTAGGACACACCACACTTACCTATTTTAATCTTATAAGCTATCACATTTATTTATGAGGGTTATGAAAAATAAAATTCACCTACTCCTGTCAATCACATCTTTTATTTTTCTCTTAAGATACATATGTATATAATAGGTCGCCTTAAATTTCCTTAGGAAGCTGATTTTGAGTAAAAACATTTTGTCATTCAGTGAATCTAGTTGCATGTCTTAAAAACGAATTAACCACTTCCTATGGAAAAAAAGACTTCAACTTAATTTGTATCAGATGTGAACTAAATCAAAAGTAACAAAATTTATAATGATTCCTCTACTGTGTTTGTTAAAGAAATTCTTTGAAACGTGCAATAGAAGTATTCTGGCACTATCAGCCATTCCATTATTTACACTCGGTATTGACATGCACTGATCATATTATAAGATATGGTTTATATTATAAGACCCTTAATTAATGATATCAGCAAGTTGTCTGCATTACCAGTCGGTACAGTAGTTATGATTATTTTAGAAGTTAAGATCGTGGAAGATAAAACTAATATCTAAGATTGCTTATTGTTCATGTTACAGTAACGCAATCTATTCAGGAGATCTGATGTATAATGTAACGGCTTACAAATGATATTGTCAAAAAACATTGATATAAAATACATGTAGTATTTTACAAATTTATCATTCGAACGGAGGTAACAGATTCATGTATAAACGTTCGATTGTTAGAATGTGTTTGTCAATATTATTCTGAGAAGTAATATGTATTTGTAAAGTTTAAACTAATAAATCTAACTGGTTCAGTTATCCAATTTTCGAAACGTACTATAAGAGTTCACAAAACGCCCCATAATTATGATTCGTAATATAATATGTTCATTAGTCACAGTCACCTAGAGTAAATTCTGACGCCCAATTACTTGTTAGGCTGAATACATTGATCTATAAATCCATCAATCTTCATCTTTACCAATTACCGTTGAATATCTCTGAAAGACATGTTGTAATTTATATTGTTGATATGCATTTCATGTTACCACATCGAAATATTAATTAAATCTGACTGAAACGTAGGTAAACCAATCGCTCCGAAGTAAAACATGCAATAAATGTTACAACATTCATTTCCATTGTTGGTATTTGAATAACAGAATTCATCGGGTACACGAATAATGTTTTTCTGACAGGTTATTTGAATTCTTTTCCAACATAAATTTTTAATTTATGATATCAAAATAAACCAAGAGAATTCTCATCACTAGTGCTTCTCACTAGTACAGTTGAACTTGTTTAACTAACTGAGAATGTATGAAAACCTTGAGCCAGTCTCTACAGTATGTTTACTGAACTTCTACAATTTCGTGATCTGCTAACTTAAAATTTTATTTACTTATTACTGATAAGTGATCCTGTTTTAAAAATAACTGGGTACTTCATGACTGTAATTAAATATTTATCGTTACGAGAGACAGTTCATCATACGAGTGTTTGTTAACAATACATATAGTAGTTTAAAACGCTATACTTTGAAATACATCATAGGTGTTTTGAATTACGTGTTAATAACTATGTAGCAATAAACAAATACTCGAAATGAATAGCTTTGAACGTCCTTGACATTGATGCTAACCCTAAAAGTTTTACTGAACACAACACTAACCGAAGGCTTTAAGTCAGGTATCCGCACCAGATCTTGTTTCGATACGCTATACAGTTCACTTCCAAAGATAACTAGTCAGTTTAATGATATATATTATACCTCATTCAAATATTCAAATATAGTTTACTATCCCATTATTCTCAACTTGTGATTTTTATGACTTTGAGCTCACTACGTTAAAAAACATTCGAACAGTGGTATTGCTAAGTCCTACCTATCTCCTATTCTCCTCAAATATAATGAATATGAGTTGGGGAAATACAAAATACAATGACAAAACGTTTATATAAAACAAATTTAAGTGCAGACAATAATCAGTCCTTTGAAATCTAGTATATCAGATACATTCTAGACTTGATGAAATTTTATTTTGTGGTGTTGTGATTTTTTAAAACTTCAAATGAATCTAATTTCATTTGGGTTTTTTTTTCATTTTTAACTAAGATATTGATGAATGTCATGAAATGGAAAATGTGTGTAAATCAAATAATCCATATGCTCCAAGTCAAGCCTGTATAAATCTTATGGGTAGTTATCGATGTGTATCTGACGAGACTCCACCAAATTATGTGAAGCATAGACTTGGTAATGGATTCAGGTTAGTAATTTTGTAAAATAAACTTATTGCTTGCTTAAATAGAAATAAAATTTATTGAGAATAGTATTTCAACTTTCGTACGGATTACGTGATCACAATGAACTCTTAATCCACTAAGAACTCAGAATGGTCTTGCAGAAGACCTACGTTTTATTAACCAAAACAAAACAAACAAGAGTTTAATCATTGGCCTATTTACAATTAGCAAGGAAAAGAAATTATCATCTTATAGGCAATGGACAATAAAGTTGACCTACTATGGATCAAGTAGTACTTTTGTAAAATTTAATGTTTTACTTTAAAATATCGTTTTTATGCATAAAGTATAGTTTTTTTTATCAATAAAAAGATACTTTAAATATTCGTACTTTTCATGATGATTGATTGGAAATTTGTGGTCAATCAACTTTGTTACAAAATCACTACAAATAACAGTAGAACACCAAAGCAAAAGTGAATTCATATACACTTCGGTGGATCTAAAGTTATTAATTTTAATTTTGATTTTCATTACACATTAACAGAGCAGTTTTGGAATTTAACAAGTTCACACTTAAATTGTATGGCACTTTTATACCCAAAATTATCAGTGAACAGTAATTAGCTTATGTGGTTGTTTAACAGATATAGTTTTTTAATCTTTTTGATAGTCAGTACTAAATAATCATAAAATTAACATCTGGTGATCCTTGCCCCATATGCTCCGGTACGGCCGAGAGTGAGGAAAGTTAGTTCTGCTTCTCGAAATGCTCTCACACGGCCACGTGCATACAGCCACTGCCAAGGAAGTCCTGCTCACTGCCTTCTCGCGGCATTGTTGTTTACGAAATCTAGAGGACGAAAAGCGAATGACCGGCGATTTAACCGGGTTGGTGGACACGGAGGACCCACCTAAGGGAGTTGGAAAACCCTGATTCCAAACCAATGGTGCACATGGGTTATAGGATCCTGAGGGAGCAAATGGCGTATGAACCTAATGTTGGTCACCGACTACCATGGGACTGCATCTCCTGGCGTTGCTCCACTGCCTTGTGGATCAGACTTTTAGGTCAGAGGTTCCGGGTGTTGCCTCTTAAGACAACCATCTGCTTCAGTTCGGGCGCCCGGGCAGTATCTCAGCCTTCACACAAATCGAACGATTTATATGGCACATATCTATTTAGTGCCTCCTTGTACCAATGTTTATGTGTTTAGATAAATAAAATAAATAAATATTTAATGTCAACCACTGAACTTCAACAAATCGTGTGTAACCTTTTTTTCTGACCTAAGTATATTAAAAAGTCAGCTCCTTTGGCAAATGTAGACAGCACAATGAAAACAACATTAACATGATATATTAGCCTAATGCATTTCAGACAATGTGACCACACATTAAATCCCTGAGAAATAAAGAACAAACTAAACAAACGGGAGCATAAGAATAATAGAAATATTAAGCGAAACAATATAAATCACATTATTCCCGATAATAAGATTAAAATCAATATAATCAAAGTAGATTAAATGTAACTATAATCAGTTCTTCAAACACACAGGATGGATTGAATTTCTATATAGGTCAGGTTTCAACAAATCTTTACATTTGCCCTGAATTACATATATACACAGCTAGGAAAAATCTTGTGATATGTATCACCTATATATTTCTTACATATCAGAATGTTAAAAATGTTTACTGAAACAAATAAATCCAGGAATGTAAATCAAAACAATACAAATGTTATTACATTATCTGATATGTATTTCAGAATGTTATTTATACTAGATATATTGTTCATTAAAATGATGTCATATTTAGATTCATGTATTCTCTTGAATATTATTACTGTTACGTTGATATGCTACTTTTATGCTATTCGAAATGCAAGTTATATCTCAGATTGAGATATGATCATTAAGTGTACAAACATATCTACCCTTCGTGATTAACATTATAAGGTAATTGAAATCAATATCGTTTTAAATCAATATCATGTAATTATAAATTAATATCAGAAAAATACGTGCTGTTTTTAATACCAAAATACGTGTGACATTCATTTTAAAACAATCACATTACTTCAAAAAATTTTTCAGGTTAATTTTAAAAATATGGTATTTCTAACATTTCATTCATCATTGAAACAAGGCGACAGATTACGTGTTTTGGACAAACATCATTCAAAACCAAGAAGCAGAATATATAGATTACTTAAGATGGTGGAGATTTGTAGCTCAGGTGGATGATTTTGATGGAGTTTTGTTCTCTGAGCTGGATGGTTTGGTCGTAGAGCTCTCATCGTCCTTCTGAACGACATCATCAGCACAAACTTCTGAAAGCTCCACGACCAAACCATCCAGCTCAGAGAACAAAACTCCATCAAAACAGATTACTTAAAAATTATTGTTTACAGTCCTAATGGAACATTTGTCCCAATAAAGAGCTCTTAAAACCATTTATGTAATACATCAGCAACTAGCCATTTTTTAAATAAATCAAGGTTTTGACTACTCGAAATTACTTTATAAACACCCTTTAATATTCACTATAACTTCGGCTGCTGAGACTGGTTTTGAAATACATCATACTTGAGTGCATTAAATACATCGTATTCACCTTTTATTCCTTCAATGAATCAACCGAGAGAAATTAATTGCCGAAACTGCTGTGTTTTCTTATTTAGCATCCAACTAACCACTCTATTATGATATGCAACCACATACAATTCATACATAACCATTCAGTCAAAACAAATCTAAGAGGAAAACCTTTATTTAGAATGAACAGTTTGAACAAATGAAAAATAAGTTTTCTAAGCATTCGAGAGGACTGTATGATGAATGGATTAATCTACTTCTTCCTTTATATTTGTAGCTCTGTGAAAAAGTCCCAAACTATATTTCTCGTAGATTGTTTTAGATTTATTCATTGCTAATCGGCATCATTTTTCGACCCAGGTGTAAAAGTTCACATAGCTACCAACTGTTTATTCTTGTTTTATTTTGGTCACTTGAGTACTTTAGTATTTTCTGCTGCTTGAGATCATATACTTATATACACATACAGTGAGGTAGTGAGAGAGGTTGTTCATTCCCCTACTCTTCATTATAGCAAATGACTGGATTTAATTCTAACAAGCCTACGTTGCCTCATCAATCTTCATGTTATAATAGTAAATATCAATCAATTATTGTGATTATGAAGAATAATTCGCGACTATTTACTCATTTTATGATTTACCAACAATACAATTTGCAGATGAGTTGACTGAACAGACATAATTAATGAGCTTGATAAGATAGTAAAAAAAAAGTCTTACCAACCTGATATAATCTTAATAGACTACTACAACTAAAAGTTTATTATCAAAAATATGCTTTCATACTTGTCATTTGAAATAATAATACGGTTGCTTTTTCTTGCTTTCACTAACATCGTTTCTTATTTTGCTCTCTATCGGACTTATTATTGAATGTTGTATTGGAATGAACTAAAACTCACTTGGCATATTATGTTTTAATAAGATTTATTTTATTTCTCTTTTAGCATATCATACAGTAAATAATTAATACGATATATAATGTATATGCCGCATTTTTTTTATCGAAAGTATTTCAGCAACCCATCACGTAATCTCAGATACCATAAGGCCAACAATAATAAAAATCAGTTTAGGGGTTGTGGAGATTGTCAAGTTTTTGACTGAGATCATGAACCAAAACGGCCATCCAATGCTTCCAGGTTTTCAATGGTGGTCTAACATCAATCGGTTCATAATCTCAATCAAAAAATAATAAAAATAACAACTAGTTCCGATTACCAATCTTTATGTAACTTGTGAAATGCCAAGGTCATTATCATTAACTTGAAACAATAATAAATACATACATATATATATAATATCTGACTTTCGCCTGTAGTTACTTATATATCATTTTGTTAAATTGACATGCATGAAAACCTTGACCCATTGACTTTTACTGTGTTTTTTTCAATATTGAAAGCAAACAATCGGTGAGATTAATAAGAATTAGGTTTAATAATATTTTTTTTCTAAAGCATTAGTGTTGTTTGAAACATTACAGAGAATAAGAACGAAATAATTCACCTGTTTCTTTCTGTTAGGTTATTTCCACTGCATTAGTTTTGAACTTGGTATGAACGAAGCCTAACTTCAATCAGGTATCATTAGCAATGTAAAAAATGAAGTTTCAAACAAAAATGAATCTTTTACCTCAGATAATCCTTTCTTGAATATGACCACATTTCAATAGTAAAATCTTTTAATAGTAGACATGTCAGTGAAAATATTGTTTTAATCATATATATATATATATAAACATTTTCCATTGACTTTTTGTTTTAATAACGGAACATTAATGTCTTCTAGATAGGATTTATATTCCTTAATTGGTTTCTATGTGGAGTGACTATATTTTTTGAAATACTATTACGCTAGAATGTCACTGTTATTATTAATGATAATACAATTTGTAATGGTTTGGATTATTAATGAAAGGTACTATGGAAAATAGGTTGTAGCACGATGACAGGAACCTAAAGTTTCGCACTTCGAACCTACTGAATAAAATAACATTGGTATAAATGTGAACAGTTGAAATGGTGCACAATTTGTGTACGGATTATTTCAAATAGATTCAGTTGATGATGATTTCCTTTGTATTCTGAAATTATTAATCTTAGTGACATTTTTCTCCACCATACTCTCTTTACTCATTTGATATAAAGAATTTTTAAATCCACTGTCTTTCATTGTTTTTTCCTGAATATTATTATACAGACTTATGTGTAACCGGTCAATAGATCGATTATTTTGACGAAATAAAATCATCGGAGAATAATCTCAAAATGGATAAACCCAACAGGTAGCTGATTTTGACTAGCAGTTTATAATAACGCAAAATAAAAGTCAATAAATCAAGTCCATTATAATAGATTAAATCAGGGATTAATGGGTCTTAGTTTGGATTTCGTACCCTGCCAAAGGTGTGCACTT